CGTTTTCGCGGAAATTTTAGACTTTTTCATATAAAATCCCAATTTCATTTATTGTCATTTAGAGTCTCTACTTCCGATGCCAACTAACTGGGATGTTTCGAGTTTGCACACGTTGTTATGCAACGTACACTCGCGCTTCGTGCTTCGTACTTCGTCAAATGATTCGGCCCGAATTAGTTAGAACTCGATCGATTGCTCGGAATGGTCGTCAATGGGTCCCTTCTCTTTGCTCGTCTACCCTACAGCCACACGCACTGCGTGTGTTAACCCTGTCGAGGAGTCGAGTGGATTCCCCTAAGCATGATTTTCGCTCGGTAAAAGGGGTTGCCTCCCCATTTTTTAAATTGCTGAATGTTAGCATTCAAAAAATGTGGGTATCTTCTTCTTTTGCCGTCTACCAGCCTGGTGTAGCCATATCCTGCATTGCGGGAAACTTCGTGTTCCGGGCGAAGCACCTGAAATCATGCTTAGCGGGTCCAGGTTCGATACGAGATAGGATAATTATGCGCGAAAAAGAGCTGGTGAACTTTATTTTCCTCTATTCCGTCAATCGTTTCGTCTTCTTTCCGGTTCGGGCCTAATCTTTGCTCGTTGTATCGTTGCATTCCCGACCTGTTGGCTCGAATTTGATTCTCGCGAAATGAAATGGGATTTTCGCTCGTACCGAAACCGGGAGTGTCGGACAAAGTATATACATATATATTAAATATATACATCGCGCGACAAAATTTTTAATCGTACCGAATTAGTGCGGGAGTGCCGTTTAGTATCGCGCGTAAAATAACGAAAATAGCGATATAAAAATATCGCTCGTGAGTGTGGGAGTGCCGTTGAAAGTATCGCGCATCAATAACATGAGAGGAGGAGGAGGCCTGGGAGAGGCATCTTGCATCGGCGGAGCAACCTGATGGTGAATATTTATTATTTGTATATCAATTGTTGTGTTATAAATCGTACGCATAATAATTCGATCTTATTATTTAAATGAATTAAAGAGAAAATTAGAGAGAAAGATTTTTATAAATGTTATATAAAACTTTTTAAAAAACTTTCTTAAAAAACAGTTTTAAAATTTTATAAAATTTTTCCACAAGTGTTTATCTCTGCTTATTATTTTACACATCGGATATAAAACTCCGCGCGATAAAAATTTTTTGAAATATTGATTGCATTTTGTGAGCATTAATATAAATGAATTTTATATTTGTATGTTACAGACAACTAGCTTCGATAACAACAACTCCGCTGTTGCGCATCAGTGCCGGTGAGTGAGAAAAACTTTTATTTAACTTTAAGGTAACGGATTCGTAGAGATTGTAGATGTAGATTGTAGATTGTAGATTGTAGATTGTAGATTGTAGATTGTAGATTGTGAATTGTAGAGTAAGTCCGTTGCCTTAAAATGGATGAGCTAGGATAGATTAAATTAAATAACTTTTAATAAATTCTTTCGAAATGCTTTGCATCTATTGCGAAAATATATTGAAGTATTAATTTAAAAAAGAGAATCAAGAAAAGAAAATTTTTTTTGTAAAGACTTGACTAGTTTATTAAATCAAGAGCACGCATTAATAATTTTAACAATTTTATCAATTTTTGATACTACTTTATTCTTATAACGCGCACTTATTTTATTCTAATTTCTTATATCATAGCTCATCCATTGTAAAATTTGTTTGTAGATATTGTTTTTAAATTTTACTTTAACTTAAAATAAAGCCAAACGATTAATTAATTAAATAATTTGTAATATCATAAAAGTTATACACACACAATGAATTTTATATTTTATTAGAAAATATAGTATATAGTATATAGAAATTTGTAGTAATTTGGCTTTATTTGAGTTAAAATAAAGTTATATTCAAATATTTAAGAAACGATCGTAAAATCGAGCGATCGTTACGATGAGCGTGAAATATTTACGCTCATTTGCCGGTAATTAATCGGCAAAGGAAGGAATGTTTATCTCCTTTTTCGATCTCTGGTTAGAAATCGAGCGAGAAAGTGGCCAGAATCAATGAAAAGTAGGTTCAACTGGCCTGAAGAAAAGCTTTACGTACAATAGTACGTAATGTCGGACATTTATTCACGCGCTTAGGGCATACGGTTAGAGAATGTAATTAGGGCATGTAATTAAAATATACGTGATTAGAGATAGGCTTTCCTCGAATAAGTTCACTTAATCGAGAAATAGGATTGTTAGGGCTATTAGGTGATCATTAAGATTTTTTAATTTTCCTTTCAAAAAGTAGAGGATTGTTAGGGCTATTATTTGATTAATTTAGCTGATTTTATGTATCTTTTAAAGAATCTGAGTGATTTGAATACCTATACCTAAGAACAAATGTCCATAGAAAGTATTTCGATGGACTCCATAGGAAGGAATAAGCATGACAAATGATGATAATTTTTATAATTTTAACACAAAAGAATACAATAAACCATAATAATCCAAGAACTTGAAGAAGAGAATATATTGGATAGAAATGCATAATAACTGAAAATAATTAGAAACTAAAGACAGTGTGCAATCTATTTATTAATAATAATACTATTTTGTAATTTAATTATTAAATTAATTATTAAATTTTATAATTTAGTACATTATATTATACAAAATATTAAGCATAAAAATATTATGCTGGTAAGAAAATTATAATAAAAGTATATAAATAATGTTGACTATATTAGAATAGAACATATAAATTCTTTATATTTCATATAAAGGAAGAGATATTTAAAATATTTTGCAACATCTATATTTTTCGAATCTTAATTATAAAAGCTTCAGAAGAATCAGTGATTACTTTAACAAATTCTATACATGTATTAATAATTACATTTTTAAATAATTAAAAAAAATGATTGATAAATATCAAAGATCATTTTACTGCTAATTAAAAAGATTTATAGAAATACGGTTAAAAAGGTTTTTATTCCACAACAGACATTTTGTTTTTTTGTAAATAAAAATATATAAATATGACATCAAATGTATAGAAAAATACTTATTTTATCTTTGAACATTGCATTGGAAGATCACAGTATTTTTCGGGATTGAAGTCAAATTTTAACTTCTTACTGTGTGATACGACATAAATAGATATGAATCAATTAATTAAATATATATTATATTTAAATTTTTCAATGTTAACATATCTTTCGAAAAGAGATAATATATCTGTATTTATGTACACATAGAATATATATATATATGTAATTCCAGCGCGTGTATTTCATGTAATGTTTTAAATTGAATATATATATATATATATATATATATATATATATATATTTCTAAACATAACGCAAATATTTCAGAATAAAGTTGTAGCGTCATACTATATATACATATATATATTATATGTGTGTGTGTTTATTTGTGTATGTGTAGAGAGAGAGAGAGAGAGAGAGAGAGGGAGAGAGAGGACCACAAAATTTATTTAAATAAATATAATATATAATTAAAATTAAAAATTTATTTATATTTATATACATATGCGTTTTGCTATACAGCATTGATGGCATTTCGTGTACTACAGGCATTTTTTACATAGCACAGAACAGAATCAGAAATTGTGCACATATATGTTATCCTTTGAGAACTTTCGTGGACTTCGGCTTTGTAGTTCATGTCTACGTTTTTTAGATTATCAGAGGGCATATCGCTTTCAAAGATCACCTAAAAGCGGGTCATAACACCTCTCAGTCTTCTCTCTGATACATGGGACATATTTTAATTACTTAATTTAATAAACTTACAGAAATGTGTGTGCGTACACACTTGTATAATTTACATCATATATGCAAAATTTACATTATTAGATTAAATTTAAATGCTTAAGAACTTTTGACAAAATTGCATTATTTCATTATTCATTAATGAAACAACTATAATTAACAAAGCATTTAGATCCACTGCATGTAAAATAAAAACGGCGCAAATAGTAGCATGTAAAATGGCACTTCTATTGTTTGGTAATATGGTCCCGCTATCTTCGTGGTCTCACCTGTGATTAAATAGGAGTATTGCTACATTTATGGGAACGCCAAGCAGATTGCTTCCTCATTCACCTTTTACATTGCTTCATATTTGCGATTAAAATAAATATTTATCGATATTGACATGATAAAACATGAAGTTCGTAAAGTTTCCGAAATTATTTCTTTGTAAAATATTAATCCTCTACCAAAATATTCCTCTCTCTCTCTCTCTCTTACACTCTTTCTTTTTCTTTAGTTATCTCTCTTCTCAATTTTTTAAATTCTTTTTTATAAAATCTGAATTTAAAGAAATAACCAGTTAAATAATAAATATTAAAATTTTTATTCTACAAGTTATCAGGATTTGGATAATAGATTTATTTGTAATATAAATCCAAAGTTAATGCGTAAATTAATTTGTTAAAAGAGTTAATCGACTACATCTTTGTATTATATTAATATTCGAATCTCGAATTATCTATTGCTTATTCTTTTGCTATTGTGTTTTTAATAATATATAATAGCATCTCATCAATTGAAACGGCTACATAAAATATTTGATTTATTAACATATTAATTTAAAATATAAAAAATGAAAGTATAAGATATAAATTATGAAATAAATATAAATCGTAAAAAATAAAAATATAAATATGAATTAAAAATAAAAATATAAATATGAATTAAATTATTTTAAATTATTTGACATTAAATTTATTATTATTAACATATTAAGACATTTTCGAAAATCTCTAAGAACAATAATTTAATTAAGATTTATTATGTTATATAATTTTTTGCAGTATTCGATGTGCGAAAAACGCGCGAAAGAAAATATAAATGAAAAAAATATATATAGTTTACATTATTTTATTAATAATTTAAATGGAAAGAGCGCTACACTTTTTAAATATTATATAAATTATGGAAAAATGTAGTGTTTGTTGAATCATAAAAATGTAGCGCTGGATATTATTTTCGATGACGTATGAGGACTATATATAGCTCCCACGCGCGTCACGTTACGTGCTGACGTAGTCGAGTAGTTGACAGTTCCGATGTCATCTGTACGCGAGGAGGCCTGCATCTAACGAAGGCGTTAGATCTTAGATCTAGGCAGTATGGGGAAGACCACGAGGGTAGTCGTTTGCGGGATGAAAGGAGTCGGGAAGACAGCTTTATTGGAGCAGCTCATATACGGAAATATCGACGCCAAGACGGTATGCGTTTATTAGGTTAGGTTACCCTAGATAAATCACGCGCGATGCATGATGTTAAATTGGCTGTAATAAATCAATTTCACAGGAAATTCATCCTACAATCGAAGACGTTTACGTCGCCAACATTGAGACTGATCGGGGCACAAAGGAGAAGGTTCGATTCTACGATACAGCTGGACTTGAATCTCTACAGAGTAATGTAAACAATCAGCAGCTTCCACGACACTATCTCGGTTTCGCTGACGGCTATGTCTTAGTTTACGATACTGGTAAGCCTGAATCTCTCGATGTTTTATTTCCTCTGAAAAAGGATATTGACAAGAATAAGGATAAGAAGGAAATTATTGTGATTGTGATCGGTAATCGAACGAAAACCGATGCGGTATTGAATAATTTGGAGAATACTGCGAGCAAAGCGACTAACTGGTGCGCTAGAGAGAAAGTTAAACATTATGAAGTGAATGTCATGGATAGGTCTAGCTTATTCGAGGCGTTTGTGCATCTGTCGTCCAAGTTGAATCCTCCTGCCAATAAAAGTACATTTCCGCAATTAAGTATGGGTAGGAAAACTGTCAAGGCGGAAGCACAGTGATGCTTGTTTAAGGGTGCGATGGAATTATATGAGCACAAGAGGATTGCGATATGAAAGTCGCTCATGTGAATGTTGTACTCAGGTTTAATTTATTTCGTAATGATTAAATGTCACGATACAGACATACTTTGAGATCTCAATAACAATATATATCTATGGCACAGTATGTACTTTTCTGTTGGACATATTTGTGATATTAGGCTTGAAAGAGCAAATGGACTTGTAATCATGAATGTAATCATGGATTATGTACTTAAGTTATCAATAACTTTACCGGTGTAAAGATCCTTAATATTTATTCACAAAAAAAAAGAAATGCAAAAGAAAGATTATCTAAATACAAATTCTTTTTGCTTTGTTGGCGCATTATATTGTCATTTTTTGAAAGAGTTATTTTATCCTTGTTTAGTCATTAATATACATATATATATATATATATTCTAGAAAATTGAATCTCTTTTAAGAACTCGCGTAAGTACTTAAATTTTTATGGGACTGACATTATGTGTTAAATTTAAATTTATATTTAATTATTACAAGGAGTACAATTTGTACTTATTGTAATTATAATTGTGATTATATTAATAACGTATTATTATTTATGCGATGAAAATATTTTTAAAATAGATTACTATCAATAAATATAAACGCTACTACTTCTTTCTTTTTCACTGTATTTTACCATTCTAATGGTTCGTCTAATTTCCGTAAATTTAGATCCGTTTTCATTAAGTGATCCCACAATTCACTGGTTACGCCAAATCCTGCAAATAATAAAATAATTAATCCTTTATCAATCTTCTCTCTGATAAGTAATTCCCATTCGTTACCTTGATTATGATGTAGAAAATGATGATAATTGTGCCTTCTTTTCATTGTATAAAAGTACGATTCGGCTTTCGGTGCTCCATTATGCAAGTAATAATGCATTAGATCGTAACATAAGTAGCCTATAAGTTAAAATTGCAATTATATGTATAAAATACATTTAGCTTATGAAAATAATTAATGTCGAAATATACAAGATACATAAGACTTATAAATAATGTACCCGTTATAGTACCAGCGCCGACAAAATTAACTATTGTCAAAGGAAATATGGCTTTATAAATTTGCCAAATAATCGCTGCTATGATTAAACTGAGTGTCGGTGGAAACACCAGTCTTCGTTCATCTAACGGTGCCTATTGATATAGCTTCTCTTTACTCATGCATTAACATTCAAGGCGAATTAAGATGCATTTAATTTGAAATATCAATTGAGATTCTGGATCGTACCTTATGATGATTCCCATGGAATAGGAAATGCAAAGTGATCAGTAATCTCGAATTATGCGATGGTCTAAGATGAAATATCTTTCGATGTACGAAATATTCCATGATGGTCCAGATAAATATCCCCAAAACGAATGACGGTAAAATCCTTTGCAATGCAATGACTAAAATATGCAGTAACTTTATGTCGTAGATCGCAAACAGTTTTTTTTTGCTTGCTATAAGAATCTCATTATTTCGTGAAGGTTTCAGTTTAAATGCAAATCATATGCACGACACACGCTAATTACCGATGTTTGTCGAAGTATGTGGAACGCATCCCATGTAAAGAAAATATATAGCTATGGGGAACCAGACGATCGGCATAATGTACCACGGTGTGATCGATAGTAATTCTAAAATGTCGGATTGGAAAAATCGAATAGGCCTATTTACTGGCAGGTTCACCCATTTCCAATATCGATCGCCCATAAAACCCACTTGTCGCAACATCGGTGCATCCCAATTAACTAAATCCTGAGATGAAAACACGATTTCATAAACGACAATGTTTTTTTCTCGACGCATTATTTATTTGTTTGGCATCCAACGTCATTTTTTTTTGTATATCAATCTTCAAATAATTTACTATAAATAAATATCATAAAAGAATGATTACATAAAGCGTAGGTGTTTGTGATAAGCATCGTAAAATCAAGATAAATTGTCACAAAAAAAATGTTTTATAACTGTTATAAAGAGGGGTGTGCTAATTTTCATTTTAGATAAACCTGACACGTTATAGACAAATTATTAATATGCAAAGGACGTCAGTTTATTTTCGATGCTTGTAATGTCTTTCATATGTGGTATTTTTTAATTGCAGTTATTTTTTAACGTTACATATACGCAAAATTCTTTATTGGGACAAAGTTGTTTTTTTTTTCCGAAATTATGTATCTAATTTGCATAAATATATTAGGAATATTCTTTAAAATGAGGATAATTTAAATAAAGATATTTTAAAGAACACTTTCTTTTAATAATACGCACATGGATGCCATCTCTCATGTATATCAATATTTATTTGCATATCACTCACTTCGCACTCGTTATATCTTTCTTGATGTTGCACAGCAAATTCCTCAAGAAGATAGTAGGCAGATTTAGAATGAGGATATTTCGCTAATTTATCATCCAGGATTTGATCCTTGAAATGTACAAGCTTATTTTTTCCTCCCGGATGATACTTTAAGAAACTTTGTATATTATAAACGCGATCGCGATATGTGACGTGAAATTCTGGTTTCTTCCGCGTTGTATTATTATGATAATTTTCCTTTTTATTTGCGCAGATCATATTGACATTCTTCACGTCGAATGTATTCGCACACAAATTCTCTGAATGAAGTGTCCTATCGAAATTTTTATCTCGACGAACGTTCATTTGTAAAATTGTAAAAAAAAAAAGCTAACTACGAAGCTTGTTGTGTACCGTGCACTCTAGTACATTCTACTAAATAGACAACATTTGCGACTTGGTAATGTATTATAATAGATAAGATTTTGCCGTAAATGTTGCGTGGGAGAACTCGATGAGCGCATTACGTTTTAGAAACACTGTCGTACTGAATATGGTATTGTTCATGAGCGCAACGGAAACCTCAGAAAAAGCAGGGCAAGATCACATACATAAAAAAAAGATCAAAGGCTCTGAAACTTTTTTTACACGTATACATTTATTTCACAATGACTATGTACATTATTCATAGTAATTAGATGATAATTTTTGCAGGCGCCACGAGCTTTTGTAGCTGATTCTTCGCGACAATTCTTAAACTATTTTTATTTCCAAAAATATACTCAATATATTTATGTCAAAAAGAGATACGTAAATTCGAAAAATAACTTTGTGTATTTATATTGATATGTAAATTCGAAAAATAACTTTGTGTATTTATATTGATGTTACAAAAATAGTTGTAATAGTGGATAACAAATTTGATTTTTAAGGGTGTGATTCCCTGCGCAGATTGTTGATTACTAATTTCGTAGTCATTGCGTACATCATGCATTGTCGATGTCATCAAGCAAGATTAATAAGTTTGCTGAGCGTCACATGATTCGTAAACACATGCTCTTTCTGACATGCTACGATAGTTGCAGGTATTGATTATTATTATTCAATTGCGCGTTTTAGGATCATAAACGAAAATTGCTATGTTTTTTTCTATACAAGATAGAAGTGTTCTAGAAATGAACGTTATCAATGTGTCGTATACATAAGTCTACGCTTGCTTTTGTAAAAAACATGAAAAATTCTCAGGTATTTTTTTTTGTATCTGGAAGGAATGTTTCATGGAATTTTACTGGAAATGTGGAGATTTTTTTTTTAATTTTTTTCTCTAATAATTTTGTTTTTATATTGTAAATAGATAAGCTAAATGAATTATGCAGAAATATAGAATATAATTAGAAATATATTATAAATATATATAATATAAATATATATAAATAAGAATGAATAAAAGAAAATGTTATATACAAATGAAAAATGTTTATCTTACGAAAGTTATTTATTTTTTTAGTACATTTATAAATCTAGCACTTGAAACTTAAAAAGCTCTTTTTTTCTCCATATGATTGAAAGACATTAAAATACGCTAGCAATAAAAATTTATTTTAAAAAGAGAAAACATGTACCAAAAAAATCTTCGAATTATTCTCTTTACTTAATTTTGAATAAACATGCTTGAAAAATCAAAGAATTTGCAGGGAATTTTTTCAAAGATTTGAGTAGACGAAAAACGATAAATAATTTTACCAATATCATGCAATTGATAGCACTGATGAGCATTGTTTCGATCTTTAATTTTCTAAAAATTACATAAAAACGGTATTATTTAATTCTCGAAAGAAAACAATATCTAAAAATATTAGAAATGCATTAATTTAATATGTTGTTAAAAACGTTTCTGTAAAATTACATCTCATTGACTCAATTCGGAATAGATATCGTAGCGATTATCGAAGATTAAGTTAGGAAAGATTATTAATGTTTGCGCATGTCTAATGAAAAGATATGAATGATAACTTTGTGTATCTATATATTAAAGTTATATATTCGAAAATATATATATGAATTCAAAATAAATGCAATATATTTGTCGATTATGCTGAAGTGGCTATGCCCTTAATAGACATTTGATAAATATGGAAAACGCGCACATATATTTAAAAGAATTGAAATTTAAAGATTTTAAGCGAAATAAAAATATATTTTTTACAAATTCGTAATTTGTTTTTCAGGTAAAATTTTTATAAAATATGTAAAACTTTTCAATAATATGTACGAATCAAAAATTTATAGCAAATCTCATGAGAAGTATTTATAGAAATATTATTAAATACTAGAAGAAAAATATTTATAGAAATATTATTAAATACTAGAAGAAAACACATTTTTGTCGGCAATAAATAAGCTTTTATTTAAACGCTTTGAATCTTGTATACACTGTGTACATAGTAAATGTCTAAGTTTCAGTCGCTAAAAGTACAGCGACAATGTTCAAATTCAAAGACAGCTTAGGATTTGAACACATTCTCGCTATTAAAAACGTACTTATTGTGTCGAGCAATAAAATACAATCGGAAGTACTCGCTCGCTATCGTAAATTGATCTCTGCACTAAAATAATTATCATTACGAATCGTATAAATCTAAAGAATGAAAATATAGTATTCGCTTTTATTTTTTTAATATTTACGCATAACCGAAGAAACTTTCCCCCGGGAGAGAAATTTTTTCCCCCGAGGGGACTGAATTGAAATTTAGCTGCGTCTAAGATAGAACTATCCAACATTAATTATATCGTTTATAACTATATTTACATATCACTTCGAGGAATTACCGAGCGCATCGGACACACAAACGTTTAAGCGAAACTCAAATATAGAAGAGTTGAAATGAAGATAGTAAGCGTGCTCTTTGTGCTCAACGGTGCCATTTAATTTTCTTTGTTTTTCAAAAAGATCTACCTTCAATTATATTCAAATTGTTTAATTATTAAATGTTGACTTTGACAAATTTATTACAAATATAGCTCGATTTGAAATTGAATGTCGCAGAAGACGATATCTCTTCAGCTTTTATCCGGTGACGAAGAAAAATTCGACAAGAAAAAAAGGAGGTCACACATATAGATCTTTTGCTTTTTTAGATTTCTTCTTCAAATAATTTATTTTTAAATATAATGTGATAATTGCTCTTTTATTGGTATATATCTATATTATCTCTAAGATATCTAGGAAGACGAGAAGAAAAGAAGAGAAAAATAATTTATTTTTTTTTTATATAAACGAAAGTTAAAAGGCAAAGTTCGAATTCTGGGGTCTGAGAGACTCCACACATGAACATGAGTTTAACATTATTTATTAAGAATTAACAAATTTATTAACAGATGCAATCTTTTTAATTTGAAGTCACAGCTTTGAGTTTTTAAAAATACTGTTTATTTTTCCAAAATTAAGCAATCTCTCGATTTTTGGAAGCAGTAAAAATACATTTCTTTTCATAAAGAAAGAATAAAAAGTTTTCAAGAGAGATAATTCGTTCTTTTCTTTACGAGGAAGCATCTTCTCTCTTGCACTTGTTTATTTTCTAATAATATTCATTTGTTTGCGTTAAAATTAATCATCTTTTCAATAATTAATTATATTCCATAATTAAATTACATTTCATGAATACATCATACTTCAATTATTTAAATTAATCTAAATAATTTGTGCTTTCTTTTGATCATGATAAAATTTTAAAAATTATATACATTCTCTTGTATGTAATGCGTATTGTATAAAATCAAATGTTCGTGCTTTTCCGAATTAAAAAATATTCCATCACATTTATCGAGAGCGAAGTCACGGCAATATTGCAAGATAAAAATTCTTTAAATACACGCTGATATTAATCTGACTTTAATTTCTGAAGATATTCGGAATGACAATTTAATAGTTGAATGATGATGTTGTTGTGATCGAAATTAATATTAATATTAATATTAATAATGCAACATCTTTGATGGTCTCTTGATCCTATGATTCGAACAAAATCCCAAGAGTATTTGGAGAATTTCTCTCTCTTTCATTTCCGATAAGAGAAAGCTTTAAATCTTTCTCATGAAAATTTATTTAATGAAAGAAAGGAGAAAGTCAAATCGAAGAATCATCTAAAGGTGTCAGTATCAGAATTAATTTATAAATAATCACGTAATTAAAAAGGAGATATTTCGAGTCTTTCTCTTCGTTTTCTGCTGCAAAATATTAACGCAGAAAAAGAATATTATCATAGAATATTTAATTTATATTCGTGAAACATTACGTGACTGTTATCTCGATATATGTGTTTTAATTGGATAATGTGTTATAATTGGATTACAGCATTATCGTTTGCTTTTCGTATATTTTAATAGTTCGCGTGTCAATTTTGAAAAAGTAAACAGTCGACAGAAGAGAGTGCGCGATAAATTCTGTAAAATATAATAGATTATAAATGTAAATAGATTACAAATATAAATAATAGATTATGATGCAACACGTTCTGCAATTTGAAATCGATTCAAGTGCATACGGGGGATATACTCGTACAATAAATACGGCAGCTCTTCCAAATTTCTTCTCGACAAAGAAAGGAGAACATTATCTTAGTGAGCGATTTTTAAAAGAACTGTCTAAAATTTCACGTGCAGTAAAAAGTAGTAAAAATTAGACACGGTATGACTTTTAAATATAAAACAGAAATGTGTAAATGCGTAGGTGGAATAATGACTTCGGAGAAAGAAAATGTGCTCTTGTCGTATGTTTTACATTAAGTCGACACGTTATCTCGTCAATTTGTTCGAAACGGCTATTGCTTATCGTAACTACTTTAACTCGTATGTCGAGGGGAAACGTTTCGCACAATTGTCTACTTACATACGTCCACATTTAGACGACTAGCTTCTAAAAGTTTTTTTTTTGTGTCCCTCATGCACGAAGTAAAAGGGCGTACGCTTTTACACGTAGAAAAAAGGGAAGAAAGTAAATAGGTATGATACTTTGTCACGTTATTCCTAAGCGATTCAAAAAATAGGTACTTTACGAGGTATTAATTTAGATGCGGTTGGCATAAACGCCGAGTTATTATTTACAATGGCACACGCGCGTTATGTTTCCATCGAATTGTTCATCGTAATGTCATTAATATAATAATAATAATATAATAATAATAATAATAATATAATCTCTCTCGCTCCTGGGGCTCCTATTTTACATGCCGTTGTTACTTTCCTCGCAATACGAGCGCTTTTCGATCAAGTGTTCGCAATATTGTTCTCATTGCTTTGTTCGGTTAATTGATCTCTTGTCAGTTTCAAGTATGTACAATATATAAATAGGACAGAGGATGATCACAATGGCGTTTCCGAGCTTAGATCGTAACGTACATGTACACGAAAGGATATTTCGCCAAGTTTGCACAGCAAATGCGATTCCCACGCGGATCGCGAACTCTTTAATATTGACATTACGGTTATTCGAAATTCACATTCGGTCTCACGACAACTTGGGGGATGGCACTTGGCATGTCGATCATGTCCTAAACGCGGACAATGCGCGTTTCCAAGTATCCAAAATAGCTGGACCAGCCAAACAATGCCCGGCGATGGGGCTACTTCGCGAAAGAGAGACCTATCTGCGAGGATAGCGGAGGTATTCGCGTGATACCCCGTACACAACACGACACCAGTCTAGTCTATCGATAGTAATATCTGCACCGATAATTTGTGTTTTATCGAAATGTCGTATAATGGCACCGCGTGACGCCACGAATATTCTTCTTCTGGCGAAATTAATCGTAAGAGAACGCATCACGTTATGATTTTTAAATTTTTTTGTTAACTTTAATCGTCGACGATACAGCTCCGTCACAGCTGACGACGAGTGAAATTGAAAAACAACTGCCAAGAGCCAACTTTAGAGCTTGTTCGGATAATCATAATACCTTCTCGCGGAACATAATCTAATTGCCAATTAAAAGTACTGCTTACTCATACTTGTGACGTAATTTGTTTACATAATATTATTCGCAATATATATATATATAATTTGTTTGCTGAACAAGAATCCAGAGCTGACCGACCATTTTCATCGTGTTTCGAAAATAATCTTTCAATGAAATATTAAATTAATTAACTTTTTTAAAACGTATCATATATTTATGATATATAATTATTTAATCTCTTTAGTTTTCCTTCTTTTTCGTAAAAAGTGTATCTCGAAGGTATTTTAAGCAAAAGTACTTTTATTAGTAAAATAAAATAAAAAATTTCATTAATAAAATGATAAAAAATAGAATTAATTGATTAACGAAATTCTTTCTTTTGGAATATTTTTGATAAGGTCGATCATGTCCGGGCTGCAATGATACGCGAAAGGTAGAACCTCGGAGGAGCCGAAAGCATTACACATTTCACCGGGATCGTGTAGAGAGAGGGCGGTAAACAAATGGTCTACATTTAACTAACAACTCGACTACGTTCAATTTTATTGTCTAGTCTTTCCGACGTTTCTCTCGTTGGAAAGATCAAACTGCTACGTCCTAGAGGAAAAGAAAAAGAGAATCGCGCCGTTCAATTAAAATCGAATTGACTCGGACGAATTCAACGATCCCGCGTCAGATCGTCTCCACGCATCACGCGATACTAAAAAGCCAGAACGCTCTATTCTCTCGTTGCTATTTCTTGTCCACTATATGCGTCTATTCCACCTGGTGATTCGCGATTTTACCCGGAAACGACGGCAAATTGGCCGCTCTCGCATTCTACAACCTTTCTAAAACTTACTTCGTATTATCATATTGCTCCTAATGGCGCCTCGATCCCTTAGATTGAGCTCGATTTGTAGCGAATTCACCCTACATCTAATGTTTACGTATATACGAAAAGATCGGGATCGACACCACCCTACCTCTTCGAGCAAACCAACGACGAGCGTGAAATCTGCGCCGTGAAATTTTTCGAGATGTGTAAATCATATTGGATTCAACAACTCGTTAGTTTATTTGCATCTGGTGGGATTCGCTCATCATCGTGGTACATCAAAGAAAGCTTCAAGTAAAGTTGAGCATTCGCGCTACGCGTTTGTTCGTTGCTTGTTTGCTCGATACATTCCATCTTAAGGACGCATGGCTCCGACAGCTCGACCCACCAATGACTGTAGTATATATAAAGACCAAACTTGCGAAATCTTCAAAGTTAGAGGTTTCGAGTCATAAATTTCATCCGTCAAAAATTTCCTCTCGCTTATAACAGATGATTCTCTATTAAAATGTGATTTCTCAGAAATATTCCCAAATTAATTGTCGATGTGTTCTATTTCTTTATGTGATACTGTATCAAGTGAGTTCATCTCTCAAACATATTGACTATTTAGCATAAATGATGTAGAATTAGTCTTTATATATGTGTATAATCATTGTTGATATCTTCAACCCGCAGTGGCTCGAAAACAGTACGATTTGCGCTCTTTAAAAGTTCATTACTTCCATCTTGAAAGCTCTACCCTGCATTGCCTTCTTGGCGAGTTTGCTCATGGCCGGTACATTGTTTGTATCGTCGTCGCTATTAATGTCCTCGTCCTCTTCCGGGAAGTCCTCGAGCCGGTCGTGATATTCATCAAGCTGAAAATTAATTAATGACATTAGGTATTTATAGAATTGCGCGAGCTAAGGCTATAGCTAAGTGAAGTAGACGAGGCCACGGTCTTGACATTTGGAACAAGAATAAAGAGTCAAAATAACTCTCCGATCATAGTCCGTAGACTTATTTCTGCAAACTGCACTGTCTCATTGAAAGTAGGAATTACGTTAATTTCTATCATTAAAGTGATCGTAGCTTCGAAAAAAAAAATCGAAAGGTTCAGCATCATAAGTGATCTATATTTTAAATGAACGTCCGTTCACTTTCTGTCCGCGGCCACGTAGCACATATTTCTACGCACAAGCTATTTATGAACCTTCGTCTCTCAAAAGTTGCAAATTTTTAGCTCATGCTCGAAGATTCATAAATAGCTGGTGCTTTTCAGCTATTTGTTATTTTTTATTTTTGCGTGCCGTGAGAAGCCCAGCTGAACAAGAACTTGTAACGATCGCGCGATGATTTGACAATTGACAGACCACTTTTAATCCTCAACCGATCAATGTTATTCTATGCATGAGTGTTCCTTCATTCCTGATAATGCATAACGTGAATCTTGATGATGGATGAGAGTTGTGGATTTTCATGTTTGACATGCTAAAATCAGGTCAAACTTCTCGACACATACTTACCAAAAGCAAGCATGCTGACTTAATGGAATTTATATAAGTTTATATATCTTACAATTTTTTATGATTATCTATTTGATATAAATTTTATCATACGATAATTTTATTATTTTCAATTTGCAAATTTGCAGTCTATGCCGATTATAAAAGTTCCATTGATTTGAATTCTGATAGAGCATGAATTTGTAACGTGTCGTAGAAAAATAGAATTTAAATATATAAATATATAAATTTAGAGTATGAATTTATAAAATGTCATAAAAATAGAATTTAAATATATAAATTTAGAAATAGATGCTAAAGTGATTTAAGTTTAGAATATTTTATATCATGGCGTTTCTCGTATAAAATAGTTTGAAAAAGATTTTTCATACTTTCTGTTACCATTCTTTGCATTAATTGTTCACTTATAAGAGGAAACTAATCATGCATTCTATCGATGCTGATGATATTTTGCCATGAAGTGTGTTACATTAATTTTATTATAGTTTTCCTTTCATTACTCGATCGTGCAGAGTATTAATTAATTTATAATCACGCCGTTAAGCTCGGTAAATGAATGACTTGTCACGTGATCAAGAAGATAGAATAGAGCCTAATGTTCTGCGCTGTCTGCGATGCACTCTAACATCGTGTACGTGATGAATGCGCTAAAAGTAACATTCATGAGGATGCATTCTCAAAAGTTAATACTGCGAACTCACGTGTATAACGTAGCTACGGGGATATCAAGTAATCGACGTTACCACAGACAGAGAATGGATGCTTACCTACAACTGCAGATCGTATGTTCAAATGTGAGTTACCTTCATGGGACGCTTAATTGGCTCACCATGAGAAACATCTTGCATCATAAGAAATTACGGGATCGATATGAGCGACACGTCATTTTGACGAGTCCGTTTCATCCGCGCAAGGCTGTATTGCGATTAAACATGAGGCATGAGATACTCGTCAGCCCGTGGTGCGCTAATTAAGCCGCTACACCATTTAATAGATCAACTATCTGAGATAGGGAAACAACGCTACTCGATCGGAACAATTATTTAAAGGGGGAGACGCAACGCTACTTGCGTCCAAAACAATGATCTCGAAGGGAAAATGGAAAACGTGCGCTTATCTTGGATTCGCGTCCAGTTATTGTTGACTGTTTGTCGCGAATTTTTATAGACATTCCATCACAAGCCACAAACGCTAGCTTTGCTGGAAACAACTTTTTTTCTCGCACATTTTTCCTTTGCCATACAATTTTCAACGATCATAACTCATTAGGTTTCTACTTGTAAAGACACACGATTGCAATAATTATGGGAAGCTCTACTCACGTCAACGTCGCCCATCATTTCCTTGGTGGAAACGGTGGTGTCGATACGACGAATACTGCCTTGATGGATATCCACGTCGAGTTTGACGCATTGGAATCGTCGCAGGAGGAAAACGATCGGAATCGGCGCGATACCCGCGAAAATGATGGCAGCCGCGATGCCCAGTACCCAGCTGGGATAATTCGTGGGTTCTGCCACCCCCTAAAAATAAGATATAAAAAGATATCATTAACGATTAATATAATTCTACATCTTTTTTGGAATCTAACGATCCCTTACCAATGCCGCGTTCCACGCCGAGTATTGCGGCTTCTTGATGAACATGGAGGCGATGCTTGATATAAGAATGCAAACCATTATTATGGGAGCGAGAAATCGCCACGTGAATTGCCAATAAACTCCCGGTCTGTATCCTGTCATCTCCTCGATGTCCTTGGTGAATCTGTACAGGGTTGGCGTGATTGTTAAATCGATCAATCGGATGAAAAATAGAAGGGAGGGAATTTCGTGACTTACTTTTCGTGACCATATACGAAGATCACGGAGAGCATTTCCATCAGGGCGACCATAACGAGACCGATGGTGCCGGCGAAGCTGTCAAACATTTTCAACCAATATTCTCCAGCACCAGTACAGAAAATGAGTCCCACGAAAAAGCAAACGACACAGACAACACCTAAATTCGCAAATTAGACAAGTAAAGCAGATAGTTTTGTAGATTTGTTTTCCGAACGATACCGGTGGATGATGAAACACCAGATGAACAAAATTGCCCTCACCTGTCATATATTGCTTTTTTATTCTTTTGAAGAGATCTATGTCAAAGATTACGCAAAGCATGCCTTCGAGTATCCCGATTTGTGAGCCCAGACCGAGGGCCAGAAGCATCAAGAAGAAAATACAGGACCAAAACGGCGCACCCGGTAATTCCACAATCGCCTGCGTAAACACGATGAAAGCCAATCCAGTACCCTCGGCAGCCTGAAAGCGATCATTTATTTATTTTTTTTTATTAATTAAATCGTACGCTTTCAATAAATTCATTCATAAGATTTGTCATGCATTACTCACACTGTCCAACTCATTGCTGAGACTGCAAGCTTTTAACGTGAAATTTCTTTCCGAAGAGTTGAAGGTGCTCATAAAGCGTTCGTAGTCTTCGAGGTTGAATGAGACCGAAGCATTCAATAGCTTATTATCCACCAGAGTGTTCTTCGCACTAAAATAAGAGCGATTTAACATATCTTTTGTGTCCCTCCTGTTGTTCGTCACATCAGCGATTAGCATATCCCGTCCCATTATGATTCATTCCCTCCCGCTTGGAAATGCTCAACCATTTGGCGTTTACAATTAAATTAAATCGTGATGAGAATGTAAATCCGCATGCATAATTATAATAATGTGTGTGTATGTGTGTGTGATTAATTTTGTGCAATTTAATTCAGTAGCATCATTAACGTGAATTGTTATACGTTAACAATGGGATTGGTTTTTACAACCTAATTAAATTAATTAAAAAAAACTGTTCGTCTAACTTATGTTATATATTAATAGCGTAACACTGTTAAAAGAGCGATGACGCATCTCTTGAACAAGCAGCAACAGTTATCATTCAGCCGTTTAAAGATACATCTCCGCAGCCGTGGACGATTTTCACTACTCTCTTCGCGATGGCGATTTTAGAAACGATGGCCGCGCTTGCGGTCGCATTACCTGACGACGCACTTGTCCACGTTTGACATTGCCTTGAACCCCAAAATGGCGAAAATGACAACGCTCGCATAAATGGCAGTAAACGCGTTGCACACGCTCACCAGGATCACGTCCCTCACGCAGTTGTTGTTGGGAGTGTTGTAGCTGCCGAACGCGATCAGGGAACCGAACGCCAGCCCGAAGCTGTAGAAGACCTGGGTCGCCGCGTCAAGCCAGACCGTGGGTTCCAACAGTTTCTCGACCTTGAACGAGTAATGTAAATGTCATATCTAATACTCGCGATCTTTTCTATCACTCGCCTCGATAAAGCTGGAATGAATTGATCGTCACCTTTGGTGTGTACATGTGCGCCAGTCCGGCGCTCGCACCTCTCAACGTTATCCCACGGATGAAGAAGATGGTCAGTACGAGATACGGGAACATGGACGTAAAGTATACCACCTGGAAGAGAAAATGATGTTAAGGGAAAATGACATTCGGTATTTATGATATTAGAAGAATGTATCGAGGCCAATTTTTTCAACAAAATATACAGGTGTATCTTGAAAAGCTCCCACTAAGCGAATAGCGTTATTCCTGATTAAAAACCGAGTCGAAAAGTCCTGAACCATTTTTCTTTCCAAGATTCGTTAAATAATTAATCAGATTTAAGTATCAAAAAAAATTCTGAAGAGATGAATTGTTTAAAAATTAACACAAAACGGTTTATTTTTTTGCTTATCCAAATCTTTATATGTCGATAACGAGGAAGTTTGTCTTTTTATTGGCGCGACTTTAAAATTGTTGGCATTAAAATGGTTTAGAACTTTTCGACTCGGTTTTTAATCAGGAATAACTAGCTATTTGCTTAGTGGGAGCTTTTTAAGATACACCCTGTATATTAATCGACATCTGAATGCGACACGATCTTACTTTGCCGGACGACTGTATGCCCTTCATGACGATGAAGAACACGATGACCCAGCTGAGCAAGAGGCAAAGGACAATCCACCATTTGAGACCTTGACCGTCCTCGATCGACGGCGCCGCGTCTAAGGTAGTCCTGTACCAAAAATATGCGGTCTCCGAACTCCTGGCACATTCCTCGACCGGTTTCCCGTCCAATTCCGGACATTTTGCCCACGGCAGTGGGTCCTAGTTGCGTCAGAATATGCAAATAGATCATCAATATACGCTTTAACGAGCATACCGTTATTGCGACGTAAAAGCTAAAGCGGCACTTTGAGAGTGTCACATCTGAGGAAATTTGCATGCATGCTATAATTTATGCAACTCTTTCAATATCACGCCAATAGCTAGGCAAAACGGTGTTCATTGTTTAGAAGAAAAGGGTACTTACACCGAATTTGATCGTGACAGCCTAATTAAAACATGAAAAGAAAAAAACATAAGCGTTATTAATATTTTGCAAATATGGAAAATATACCACAATAACGCCATTTGCAATCGAGGATCGTACTTTAATTGATTTAAAATGATATTATTTGCATCCAAGACTGCAATTTTTTCAATTGATTGCAATGAAAATAATTTCTTATTTTTCTTATACTTAATCTCTCCTTCATTATATTTTTAATAAAAACAGTATTATTATTAAACTGTTTATTATTATTTTATTAACAGTTTATTATTGAACTGTTTTCATTAAAAATGTTGGCAGATTTTACTTTTACACGAGCGACATGCAATGATCTGTTACATAAGTTTTCAAGAGTCTAAATTGGGAGAGAGAATGAAGGGGAGAGAATTATACTTAAGACGTCTCGACACAGATTACCGGTGGCGTTAATCTCCGTTACGAAGCTTATCGATTTGCTTACCTCGAGCGAATTGAAGAGGTAGTAGAAGCACCAAGTAATAATTACGTTGTAGTAAAGCGCAACGAAAAACGTAACTATGCACGACGCGATTCCTATACCTCCTAACCAAGGATGTATAGTGTTCCAGACGCCCAGGGCACCCTGTCGCATACGTTGTCCGAGACCCAGCTCGATCAGGAAGAGGGGTACGCCCTCTAAGATGAGCATCACGAAAAAAGGAATGAGGAAGGCACCTAAAATATACACATAAATAACGCTTTAGCAAGACTGTCATTTTCATTGCACAGATATTTTTAACGTTGAACATTACAATGCTATTATATATTCGCGGAAAAGCGATGAATGAAATAGAAGAATCACTGAAGGATCCCTTTTGACAGAGATTCTCTTTCTGAGAAATGCAGAGTGGGCGTGAAATGTCCACTTTTATTTCCATTTGCAAATCTAGATCTGTCGAGATCTCGATTTAACAAAGGAAAAGGCAAACGGTCGACTACGAAACAAAGATATTTATATTTCGCGTGTTGACAACGACAAATATTTTTAGACGACGATTATTCATTATTTGATTTTGTTCTTGAAACGTATACAGAAAATTTTGATGTTGGCATATTTTTGGCATATCATGCATATCGTGTTCTTCCTGCTTAATCTATCAATTTTAACGTTCTTCTTCAAAGAGTTAAATTGCAATTTCAGCGGTTAATATACGAAGAATACGAGTATATATATGAGCGTGACAGAATTCGTACGTAAGGTCGCTAAGTAATCAAAAGATATGCTAAACAAATTAACTTGATATCTGATTTATTATGTGTTTTATTTGCGAGACAGATAATAATGCTTCTCACATCCACGAATACATTTGCAAATCGGTGGATTATATTGTTAACACGGAGCAAGACAAATAGAGATCACCTCTAGAAAGACATTGCATACAATATAATTTTAGAATTAAAGCCTCGACGCGATCGCGTATTTAATGCATTTAAGAAACGCAAGGTTTTAAGCATATCGATCTATTTCTTTTTATCCAGACTATAATTTTTAAATCACGTGCCTCTCTCACCTTGTCAGCAGTTAACGTCAAGTGCTTTTAAATTAAATTTCTATTTTTATAAAATCATGGTTATCCGCTTTTTTTTGCATCTTCCCTTCGCAACACGTCTCTCTCTCCCTTCGCCTCTAGATGTCTAGTTTCGCGGTCGTAGCTGGAGCGCCTTGTATTGATCGAGCAACCTAAGTCCTAACCCGTTCAGCCGCTCCACCACTTGAGCGATCTTTTTGATATTCATACAAATGCAAATTAGAGCTATAAAGAAAAAATTGCGAGCTGCGATACATTAAAATCTGCCTTTTCCTACACTAACGCGTCCACATAAAGCTACAGGAAAACAGCCAGCAACCTACATATCTCCAGCTGATTGATCAATTGAACCTGATTCTGAATAACTTCCTAAATATTTGAATATACGTTAATCTTCAATTTACTGAATAATAAAAAAAGTAGAAGCGAGAAGAGATGATGAGGTGAAATAATGAAAACGTGCTGAAAGAAATTGAAACGTGCAGAAGTAGATATCGATCTCTCGAATGGAGTTCTCTCGGATCTTTCGGGCCTCGATGGCAACGTCAATCGGTAATCCGACGTTATACATTGGCGTTTAACATGTCAATGGCTCGTAACGCAGACTCTCCGTTTAAACTCCTCTATTACTTGAGAGCTGCGAAACAGAGAGCGGCAGATGTTAGGTCGTCGCGTGCTTTCCGTTACACACAGTGGTATGGATCGATCGATAGGCGTTCGGCGACGCGGTCGTGGTCGCGATACGACGCACCGAGGAAATTTCCATTGAAAGCCGGGTCTTTTTACTCGAAGAAAAGATTTACGTGTTCCCCTAGTGTGAGTAAGTATCGCGCAATTCAATCGTCGACGACGATTTGCAATTAGGCGCAAAAATTTTCGCTACTAAAGTCCGAAGCCGGTCAGTTTGCAATTTTGCCAATCCGACAATTTCGAGAATTCCTCCTGCTCGAAAATAACGCGAGATTCAGCAAACTTTTTTTCATACGTTTTTTGACGTGCGATTTTTAACTTATACAAGTTTAGCCTTCTATCGTTTTAAATTCAGACGTAAAAAAATATTTCATTTTTGAAAAAAATATATGTATGTACATTTTAATTTTTTTCGTGTAATTCTATTATTATATTGCTCCAGAGTTTTAATCCAGCGAAATCTGATAATTCGAACATTCCTTCTATTTAAAAATAATACGAGATTCAGTAAAGTTTATATCTTGTTTTTAATATATCATATTTAATTTATAAAAGCTTTATTTTTTTATTTTGTGTTAAATTCATACTTAAAAATTCATTCGGAAATATATTTTAATTTCATGTGATTCCAAAATCTCACAAAAAGAGTCTCTTCTTAAAAATAATGAGATTCAGCAAATTTTATTCTGTGTATTCTGTGGTTGTATAATGTTGGCTTATAAAAACTTATTTTTCTATCTCGTTTCAGGCGGAAAAAAATATTTCATTTGGAAAAAAAAAATATATATATATATTTTAATCTCGTGTGATTCTATTATATTGTGTGTTCCAGGCTTTTAATCCAGCGAAATCTGATAAATTCGAGAATTTCTTCTACTTAAAAATACAAGATTCGATAAACTTTATCTTGTATATTTAATATATAATATTTAACTTATAAAAGCTTATTTGTCTATCTCGTTCTAAAATCAGATATACAAAATTATTTCATTTAGGAATGTATATATTTTAATTGTTTGCGTGATTGTCTATTATATTACTTTAGAGTTTTAATCGAGCGAAATCTGATAAATTCGAAATTTCCTCCTACTTAGAAATAATACGAGATTCAGTAAACTTTATATCATGTTTTTAATGTATAATATATTAAAAACAAGATATAAAGTTTATTGAATTTTGTATTACTTGATATATAATATTTAACTTATTATATTAAAAGTTTATTTTTCTATCTTGTGTTAAATTCATATTTAAATTCATATTTAAAAATTCATTCGAAAATATATATATTTTAATTTCATATGATAGTATTATATTACTCCAGAATTTTCATATGATAGTATTATATTACTCCAGAATTTTAATCCTGCGAAATTTGATAAACTCGAGAATTCCTTCCACTTTAATACGAGATTCAGCAAACTTTATCTTGTATTTGATGTATATAAAATAATATTTAACTTATGAAAGCTTATTTTTCTAGCACGTTTTAAATTCATACTTAAAAAAGTTTCGGAAATATATACATTTTAATTTCGCTTGAACCTATTAAATTGCTCGAGAGATTTACCCCAGCGAAATTATAGCTATTTAATTCTCTCATACATTCCTAAGTGGAATACCTGGTGATTTTGATGACGATAGATTTTTAGAGGAAAGTGTTGCCTTGCCTACAGGGGGGATGTTTGAGTAGTTTAGTAATGGAAGCTCGAGCTCTGCGCAGTTGCCTGGATAGTAACCGATATGATTTCGGTGTGCATATAAACTCCGACGTCATAATCACGCGAGGGCCACCCGCGAACACCTCTCATGACCTATCTACCTACCCACATTCGCGAAAGTAGATGTATGTTAAATAGCTTCGTTCTCGCGATTGTGATAAGAAGAGCCCGCTCAGCGGAACGAGCTTAAAATAATTCAACGTACGAGAACGAGAGCTTATTGTTAATCAACGAATGCTAGTTTCTCAGGCAAAAAATGCATGCTCGTAAAATCTGTGTAGATCATAATATATGTTGCATGACTGTTTTGTGCTCGTATTTCATGCGGTACTAAAACAAAATGCCACGCTGCTAATGCGTATGTGTTTTAGTATTTGCGGTTGGTCGACCTTTTCCGTTAGGTTGAATTAAATCAGGTGCAACCTTGAACTATCTTTATCTCGATGAATAACAGATGTCTTTCTTCAATATTGATTTGGTATTATTTCATTATATATATATAATGAAATAATGTCAAATCAATACAGAAGAAAGATATCTGCACAAATGCAATATCGCGATATTGTATTCTTGCTGTAAATTATAAATTAATTAAAAATAATTTAAATTATAATTTAAATTATCATTTAAATTATTTTTAATTAATAATAATTTTTAATTTTAATTAAATAATTTTTAATTTTAATTAATATAACAATTTAATTAATATAATATAATTTACAGCAAGAATTTAAATTATTTGTAATTAATATATAATAATAATAATTTAAATTATAATTTAAATTAAATATATATATATATATATTTTTTTCTTTTTTTTTATTAGTATAATTTTAACATCGATAGTTTAATTGATAAGGTTTTTTTAAACGGGACGCCGGAAATATTTAGATTCAGATTTCAATTTAGGTGATATTTTTCAGAATACGAACGATATAATTGTATACTAGTTTTCCAAGGAAAGATTTATTAACCTTCATAAAGCCAAGAGCCTATAAATTATAGCAATGTACCTTCAGGTATATACTCGGTATTTTTCCACGCAAAAAATACTGTGCCACATTTATACTGCTTTCTTTACTAGTCTATTATTTTTTATTAATTATGAATGAAAAATAATTCATCTTAATCAAGTTCAAATCCATTTTCTTTGTATCAAAATAAAAATTAATGTTCATAAAATTAAAAAAAAAGTATATAGAAACAAAGTTACACACATATAGAGTTATTTTTACATTTTTAAAAGCAGAAAAAAATTAAATAGATTCGAATGAAATTGCAGAGTTAATAAAAATCGAATTAGTCGTGCGAAACAAAAAACTTGTTGCCATCGCATTAATTAGAAAAAGTTGTCAAGCATGATTTAATATATTGATTATCAAAACGCGATTCTAGTAAAAATTTTATTTTTCATTTATATCAGCATATTAAGTCTAATTCTTTCTCCCTCGAGAGAGGAGAGAACAAATTTATTTTATCACTAAATTAAAAAATAAATATATCAAGATTATATATACGATTTTTTATAATATCGCAAGTGTCGAGCAACTGTATTAATCTGCCGATAAGAGCGCATGTGCCTTTAAGAACGCGAATGCACGGAATATTTCGTAGCAGTTATATTTAACGTCGGCGTGGGATACCTGAAAATAGTCGTCGACTAGTATAGTTAGCCGTGTGCTATACCGGCTCCACTGCCCTCCTATCGTACAACCTTGTCCCTGCTCTTCTTCGCTTTACATCCGACGCCGTAGAGGCTGGCGCCGACTGCAAGTTGCGAGAGTCACTTGCAATATTGCATGCAACATTTTTTGCGGCAACTTATGGCATGCACGCTGTCAATACTTGTCACATATCGAGAACAGTCCGATATAAATAATAGAGATATAATCAGATATATTGCGCTTTTCGAAATGAAATATTTTTCACAAATCATTGAAAAATATCTGAAAGACCCAAGTGAGAGAAAATAAAAAGAAATAATTTAAAGAAATTTCAAGAGATTCTATTTTTTTACAAGTGCAATATTACGTAACAGTTGAAATCTTGTAACTTGGAGATTGGAGTCTTGCAAGTTTGCCCGAAATCACTTTTTCCGCGATTTATTTAATTTCTTTGATACATATGGGATACAAAATTGGCATTGATTTTGCCAGGTATAGACATTATCGCGCGTTACTTTGTGCTGCATATGAGGAAAAAACGTGTTTCTATTTTGACACTATATTAACATGGATAAGGAATAATTTATGTATACATTATGTGTTCATATATGTAAGAAACTTTACTAGGGATTTACCTAGCTAATCACTGATACTCATATACGGTTCAAGAACATCTTGAGGTGTCATTTGTTGCACGAAGGTCGTAAAAATAAAAAAAAATATACAGCTTCCATCAACAATATCACATACACACGCCAATAGGCGGTGTATACGTGTATTAAAAAAATATAATATTACGTCTGCTGTATGTTTAATAATTTTAATTAGCCACAATTTCTGTCATACATCGAGTGCTTTATTTACCCTCGCTCGTATCAGTTGTGTGGCGCGGGATTGTTCTATAATCCTTGTAACCGCGATACGTTACTCACCACCTCCGTTCTGTTGGCACAGATAAGGAAACCTCCAGATATTGCCAAGACCCACGCTGTACCCGATAATACTGAGAAAGAATTGCATTTTCCCACTCCATGCCGCCCTGTTCTCCTCCTTCGTCTCCTGGCCACCGGTGGCATTTTGGCTTCCTGTTGTTACGATCGTCACGTTATGGGCGGGTTGGCGACGGTCGTTTAAAGGTGCCAGCTCGTGCCCATTTCTCGCCGCGGTTTCGACTACCATTCTCCCGATGGATACGCAAGAATCGATCACCCTCTTCTCGCGGATGATGTATCCTTATCGAGATTCTCGGCGCACTCCTTGTTGTTTGCTCTCCAGAGATATATCGCGATCCCACGTGCCACTTCTCCACTTCCTGCCCTCTATTTATTTCCTCTCCCGTGTATCTTCTTCCTGCTTCTCCTCCGTCAATCTTCAATTAACGATTTCAAGAGACACGCGGGTGTCTTGACGTAGACCCACGCGATTTTCGGCGACCGTTGTCACTGTCACTATCGCCGCTGATTTCGCAGCGAATGGTATAACAACAACGGAGGTAACAATAATGTTAATAACAATAACAGTAATAGCACAACAGTAGTTATCTTTGTGATTTAATTATGTAATAGTGTCGGCAGTCCGTAAAAATACTGAGGTCGGTTCTCCCCTCCGAGGAACAACCGACAACGATTCGTTCTCCAATATCCTTATGTACAATTGTCGCCGAAACACAGTTTCTATATTTGTGCTATGTTCGTCTCGTTTTGGTACTTGCTATTGACTGTTTGCAGACGCATACGCGGTCGCGTAGGTGCTTCCAACCGCGACAGGATGAAAAGGATACGTCACAGGATAGACTAGGAACTGGTGAAAACAGAGTGGGTGGCTCTTGCGGGTGACCCGATAAAAATCGAGCATCGACTGGCGCGAAGAAATCCGCGACCTCCGATCGGAGTGAACCGGCTATTGTAGTCGGAGCTATCGAAGGATATCGACCACCGATGATGCAGGATACGCGGGGCTAACATGCGCTACCTGACATTGATGGAAGAACCGACGATGGGGGGATAGGGGGTTCGGAGGGGGTTACACCTTACGTTACGTTTGGAAGCAATCGTAGCGTGAAAAACGGAGTAGGAGGGAACGAATGAAAAGTACGCGTGTCGTTAATAGCCACCGTCAGGACAAAATATCGATCGATCCTCCGCGCGGAAGCGAGATATCTAAATGAGGGAAGGAGTTGGAGAGAGGTATAGAAAGAGAAAGAGTAAGAGAGAGAGATAGATGAATGAGAGAGACGCGAGATTATAATTTCTGGCTCCTCGAGAAGCTGCCGGTAAGATATTTGAAATCTAAAATAGAAGATCTTTCTCGTCAGCCGTTAAATCAGTGCCTCTTCAGCATTAGCCAAAATCAACATCAGCGATCTTCGTATTTCGTGGGTCGGATTCCTTTAAGTCGCTGCCGTTTGCGGATGGATATAATTGGAAGTCACAAATTCAGCATCATAGTTCGTCTCCCTCGGCTTGGCTCTGCACGCGAGGAAGACGTTGTCGTCGACGTTGCCCTCGTCGTCGTCGTGGCTGGTTCAGATTCGATACTCGATCGGGGGAGCCCTTGCGCTACCGGTGCGAATTATTATTTAAACTGAATAGTCTGCGGAGTGAGATTGACGTCGCAGCGCGCGCGGGTGTATCGTTGAAAAGCGAAACTTCCAGGGCGTTTGGTACCCATGTATACCACTCCTTGCACTATTACTGCGCCGAAGCTGCCTCCGTTTCCTCCACGTGTTTCGTTGCTCCGTGTCCCATCAGCAGAAATGCGAGAAGCGCGAACGGCCAAGGCCGCGTAAAATTTCGCAACGTGCGGCTCGATGGATATGCGCCTCGTTCGGACGTCGATATCGGACTGAGCCGACGCTAGTGCGCGACGATGTGCGCGAGGGAACGAACCTACGGAACGGGCACCTCTGGAGCGACATCGACGTGTGTTCAGCGCGACGAAGGTTCGTTCTACCGGTGGTCCGGTCCCCCGATTGGCCGAGGTAATTGTGCATGTACGCGCATACGCCAGCCGGCCGACCCTTTTCAAACGGTGAAGAGCTGGACAGCGAGTGTTGTTATTGTATTATAAAGCGGAAAGGGTAACGAAGAGACTGAATGAAATGGAGGGAAATGATTCGAGACGTCGCCGTATGATTATTTTTCGATCAATTTTTCAATGATTACCGTAAACAACGTCGCCCGAAATGTAATTGCGAGAGCCAACATCGACGGAGCGATTTTTATATAAATTCTCAAGCGCCACGCGATTGATTTGCATCGGTCGTTCATAGGTCGATAATCTCGTCCTATCGCAAGCTTTTCTCAATGAGGATTGCTGACGAATGCGACAAATTGCTGGCAAATTTACAGATAAATTTGTTATCCGCGTCATAACTTGTCATTGGAATCTCCCGATCATTGTTTTGCACGCGTATTCCGATTGACCTTTTAGCACCGAACGGATGAAAATGTTTTTCACTCTGTTGTTTGACGCACATTTTAATATGGCTCGTTTAAACTTCGCGCTCCTATCGGGGCTGGCAAGAAAGTGGCATAGTTTAAACTGACAAACTGACGTAACATCGATCGAACTTTGTTGTTCTCCAACAAGAAGGGAGTAAAGACGCGGCCGCGCAGCTTTTTACGCGTCAGCGTCTCCATAAACGCTTCGATCGAAAGATTCTCCAGCATCCCTTGTCCTAGAGACGGCTTATAGACAGCGTCTTGACCCCCATTCGCTTTATTTGCCAGTCGAGGGGAAAAAGTGATTTTCGTTGGGATGATTATTTAGCAAAATTCCAAGCTCAACTACCCTAAAGCGAATCGAAGACAGCGAAAGCAAAATAAATCTCCCTTTTTGCTATTTCTACTTGGAATATTTTATGTTATCTCACACACACATTCCATTTTTTATTGTCTTCCATTCTCTTTTCTTATATCCCTTTTACGTCATTGGCGAATTCTTGACGTCATTGGCTAAAGGGAGTCGATATTCCCCGTGATGTCATCCGACGCTATGTCTAGATATATAATGCTTCGCAGAATTCATTTGTATACATACATGTAACGTATAAACATAGAACGAGTCAGTCAGTAGCTTCATCATGTTATGCAATCAGTCGCGTAACCTTTCGACCTTGCGTTCTCGAGTTCTTCATTCTATCCGCCACTTTGTATATCGCCGATTACCTGATTTGCATCGAATAACATGCGTGGATGTGTCGGATGCACGATACAGGAACGCTCTCTCAAATAACGTTTCACGTTGATTGGCCTGTGTCGAGTCAAAGTTTGCTCTCAGGACGCACGTAAATCGTTAAAACCGCTCCCAGTAAACAATGACAAGAATGTTTAATTGGAAAAAGTATCCCATAAAATTCGCTTAATTATGTTCCACCGAATATTGAGTTTAGCCTTGTGGAAATCCGATACATTGGCTATCTTTCTTTTCTGCTTACCTGTGTTGATTACCTGGTATATCGCGCGAGCTTCGCTTGCATAATATCGCGCAAATCTTGAAAGTAATTTTCCGAAAGTAATTTTACAAATCAGTTGCGACAATTTTACTAGCATTTACAATAATAATATAGAAATGTATCTACAAGAGCGAATTTTCAATTAAAACATTATATATAATTGAGTCATATGTGCAAAAAAGATTTAAAAATCTATTTAATAAACACACGAAACTTTCAAAATGAGAGATAAAGATACACAAGTGTTGTGAATGTTTTTTAATTTTTAAATTTGATAATTATAAGTCGTTCTAATAGGATGTGAATGTTCCTTCTTTGCAATATAATTCGTTCTGGATTTTTATGTCCGTAATTACGTTACATATGTATAAATTATCCAATGCTGTACTCGCTATTGTTATAGATAATTCAACCAATAGAGAAAAAGATCGAAACGCGAAAATATAACGTGCACGCAATAACTAAACCGCGTCCTTGTTATACAATGCACCGTGCTAAATGCGATGAACAATCAATGGTGGTTTCCGAATGACGCACAGGATATTTGTTGTTCTGTTTTTTATTTTTTTTTTTTTTTATTAGAAAAAAGTGCCAATTTTATTTTCACTGCTGCATAATATATAGAAATGTCAGGAGCGAAATTCACAATGGACAGAGATCGTGCGACTTCATTTTTTTATTATACCTTTCCTACGCTATACGTATAATAAAAAAAAAAATGTTAACAGGTACCTGCGCTTGTATCTGTTTTATCCATCAATGTCGCATACGAATGTCGTTATACAATCCATCGCCTCCTCTCACAATGCTCATTCAACTTCTTTCTGCGCGTCGCTCTAAAGAATTTTTATACTATTATTCCAAATGGCACTGCGTCCCTTGGGAAGAAAGCTGCGAATTATGCCGACCACAAACAGGGAACATGTAGAGTCTATTCGTTTGAAATTCTCACGGAATATTCGCTTGACACTTGGGGAATCATATATTTTAATTTCATCTTGGAATTTTTGATAAGAAATAAAACACATAATTATTCACATCATAAAAGAATGATACTCGATTTTTCAATTTTTTTTAAGCGAATAGAATCGATCAGTTCAAGATAAAATTAAATTTTGTTAATAATTTCATTTACGTGATACAAAATTATATGGAATATTTAAATTTCTCCACAAGAGAAATATATATTTTTTTGCGCAAAGCTTTTCATATTATACAAAGTTCTGTCGATGGGAAGAGATCTATTTGCGTACTATTGGATCAACAGCCATGTCAAGGATATATTATCGCGATACATATCGAAGAAATCAATTTATTTAATAAATGTATGGCGTGGACGAAACTACTATCATTAACTGATCCGTGTTCATAGAATATTGAACTTTGCACGAAAACATTTGATATAATATTAATACATAGTTTATTTTTTATATATTTATATAACTATTTATAACTATATATATATTCTCTTTATTTATAAAGAACCGAAATAAAAGATAGAGCAATTTTCACAAAAATTAATTTCGAATATAATAAAAAATCGAAAATCACCCATCATAAATCGAAGACTTGACATTTGCAATATTATTATATTTATTTATATTATATAATTTTATTTTTCTTCCTTTTCTCTTTCTCTCTGTAAGCACAGTAAAAGAGCAGATATAAATCTTTGGTGCATACACACCATGACAAATAAGTTAATGTGGTACTACATTGGTCGCTGTAAGTGGACGTTTACCATAGATTCCCTCCTATAGAAGGTTTAACGTCACATCCTCATTCAGGAACTTATTAATAATGGGACATTGTTTACGAACCGTTAATGTTGATCATTCTACATCGTGGAAATTGCTATTAAAAATAATATAAGGTCTCATAAGCGTATACCCACAACTCGAATAATTTATTATATGCAGTTTTCTCTCTACAATTCATTACAATAAACATAAAATTCAATGATTTTGAAATATCGTATAGCTTAATATTTGTTGAGATACATTACAGTAAATATTCGCTCAGAGCTCTTCTGCCTAAATTATGTAAATACACGCATCAAACATGCGCTACGTAATAACATCAATATTCAAGTTCTATTCGAGATTTATTAAGTACATAATCTAGGTTTGCGAATATCGATCGCAATGACTAAGGCAGTAGATGAAATATATTTTACTGATGTTAAAGATATAAATCAGACATATATATTTTAGCTCATAAATACATACATCAAATAAATCACACATAATTTTAGAATATTTCATAGAAATGAGTGTATATAAATAATATTCTACATATAAATAATGAGCAATATCGAAATAATTTCTGAAATGACAAGTAATCTTTTCTTTAAATAAAAAGAATTATTAAATAATAATTTAAATAAAAATAATTATTAAATAATAATTTAAATAAAAATAATTATTAAATAGTAATTTAAATAAAAAGAATTATTTGTGCCTCTTTATTCAGTCTTGCAGTAACTGGTACCTGTAAGAGGATAAATAAGCACGAAACGTAAGATGATGACGTATTGTATATTTCATATATTTCTTATATTTACCCGATGTCACATGAAGAATCCAATCTATGTAAGTGCCAACACGTGTATTGATTCCTGGTTCATTACTGCCACAACCGTTTCCGTAACTGATAATACCCACGAGGACCTCTCGTTTCGTCGTAGGATTCTGCCAAAGGACGGGACCACCGCTGTCGAACTGTAGTAAAATTTGTGGATGTACGAAACTATCCTTTTTTGGAATAACTTTATAGAATTTGCGCAAGATAAGAAAACACGATGCTACCTGACACGCATCCTTCTTTTCTCCAGAAGTACATAATTGGCTATATAATAAATTCGGATCCGATTGACGACAGTCTCGATTTGTGATTACGTTTAACGTGACCTTCTGTAAAGTTTTCGATTTCATTCCGCCAAATTCTGTCGTTCCCCAACCTGTATTTCGATTAAATTAAATGCATCTCAAACGTTGTTCATTGTTTATGCAATTTACGTGAAACAACGAAAATTTATTATTTCTGAAAACATGATGACTTGGCGAATATTTGCTCACCCAGCAAGTCTACGTAACTTCCTGCGAAGGAGTCGGACTGATGTTGAAACGGAAGACAAGCCGGTCCAACTTTCTCGCTGAAGCTTATCGGCGAATTCGTTGTTATTATAGCTATGTCATTTTCAAGAGACTCGTTGTTGTAAAGAGGATGTATATCGAATCTGGATACGGTGTACAAGCGCGAGGCATTTGTGTCTGCACCTGAAGTTAAGGAATTTTTGAGCATTATAATTAATTTTAAATTATTTTAAATTTATTTTAAATTAACGCGATTTTAAATTAACATACATTAACAATAAAATTGACATCAATTATAATTATCATAAATTTAAAATAGTAGAGATTAATAAAAAAAAATTGAATGAAAAATGTATATGTTCTATTAGAAAATATCTCTTCGATAAAGAAACACGCTATTTACCTGTACTAAGATCGTGATCTCCCACAAGTATACCCACGTTACTTGTATTTTTATTGTCCAAGCAATGTGCAGCTGTCAAAATGTATCTTTCCGATATGATGGTTCCCCCGCAATAAACGTCTTTTTGAGAAGGATCGACGAGACCAGCCATCATGGGATACTCGTTCACTCCAGTTTCCATGCCTCCCACTATTTTTGTCTACGATAAATTTAAATTAAAATGACATGCATGTGTATCGATTTTTTTTACTGTTTCGTTTTATTCGATTCACGCACTGGATTTTTCCATCCGCATCTACAATTCCGATCATCCCATGGTTCTTCTTCGATCGTTTGTAATTCGCATAGAAATTTAACTCCCAATGACCAGAAGGTGGTTGATAATTCAATGGCCATGCTTTTTCCCGTCGATTCCACGCTAAATGTCTTGTTTCCACAATAGGAATGGGCCGTGGATTGATTCACGTATACAGTTAGCTTGTCGAGGGCACATTTGAAATTCTGCGAAAAATATTCTGGGCATTATCGTGAAAAAATGTATGATTTATTTGTGAATTTTAATTAGTAACAAATAATTCTAATTTTGTTTTAATGAATCAAATGACTCTTTCACATACCCAGGGTATATTAAAATTATTGCATATTAATTTCATCCGATAGTCACTTTCCGCAGTCCACCTGCAGAATTGCCGGCCTTTGGAAACATTAGGATAATCGGGATTGTACACATAATAAATGTTACCAGGTTTTAAATGTTGGGAATAGTTGCAATTTTGAAATAAACCGTTTGACATTATGAAACATAAGGACAGCTTCAGCACGAATAGTCCAACTAAAAAGATATAATTTATTATTAATAATTACACGTGTGGAATGTATATCTTGCAAATTATTTCTTAATTGTTACAGATATGCAATATGTGAAAAAAATACTATTATGTTACATACAATTTATGCCATCGATAATTATCAATCAGAAACGCGGAATATAATTTTTTAATCAAGGTCGTCCTATTTATAGTTGGCGGCGTTAAAATTGCCTTGGAAATGATAATGATAATTGTGTTAGTCGTGGCCAAGTATTGCCTAAGAGTATTTCAAGAATAAATTATTACATAACTAAAATGCGTATAACGTCTCCCTAAAATGCATATAAGTTTCTCTACTTCGCTCTTCCCTTAATATCGCAGAAGCGGATTTACTGGAATATTTCTCTGAGCAATCGATGAAATCAAATTTACTTGCAAATCATCGTGTAAAACGGTACAACTCGGGGATAGGTAGTCATTTAATAAGAACTGCATTGCGGTTGTTATCGTATATCGTTCAGACGCATGTACGGAAACATGTCGAGCTTTCAATACAGATCTGTTCTGCCAATGTTATGAATTAAAACTTCCGTAAATTAAAATTTTCGACACTCTATCGAAAATAATTGACGCATTATTGCTTTTGCAATCGGTTTTTAACGAGAATAAATTGAACGTAAGTAGAGCTGGAGCAATTTTGTTATAAATAGCAATTCCCTCTCTGTCCCTTTCTTCTCGCCTCTCTCCAGCAGGCCCTACGTTGAATGAACTTGAATGAAATGTCATACGCATGTACATGTGTGTCTCTCTCTACATATGTCGCCTTTCATTGATTCGCGCGACGGTCGTTTTCATTATAGTTGATTGTATGCGAGAAACTATCGTGGAATTTGCATTCATCGCCATCTGACCATGGGCCGTATGGAAACTATCAGGATAGAATCTTGTATCTAGAGAGGCTCTAATAAAAGAGTTTGGGCACTCGATAGAAAATAGTGGCTGAATTTGTTACCATTATTAATATTTTTCAAGCAATTTTGTGTTTATTATTTTATTAAATTCATTTGTTAATTTATACAAATTTTAAAGTATAAGTATTACATAAAGTATTTTTTTATAATTTTCATAAATTTATATAATTAAAATTATTTTATACAATTAATAAGAATACAATTTTATACATTAATAAGAATACAATTTTATACAAATAATAAGAATCTTTTAAAATTTCTTTAATGTATTTCTTGGAAATTTGTTTAGTTTATTTAAGAAAAATAGAAGCGTATTTATAAAAAATTTTAAAGAATATTTACTATTAAATATTAGAATAAATGTTTTCTTTTTATTAATATTTTTACTGCAAAAAGAAATTTATAATCTTATGAAAATTTGAAAAAATAAAAATTTCTTAAATATACAAAAAAAATTACTGTTTATTAATATTATTGCATATTAAATATTTTAAATAAGTCAAATATAACTTTTTATTCATTTTCGTTTTTAAAATTTTTCAATTAATCACTAAAAAGGTCGCCAAGACTTTTAAATTTAGTCCAGACTTTTAAATTTAAAGTCCTTCTATGCAGCCATAAATTTGCACTAGTGACATCTGAGTCAACTTACTGGTACTTTGTCATCATAGTTGTCATGGTAATGGAATCAGCTGTATTCAAAACACAAACAAACCTAAGCCTTCCAAAACTCTCATTTAGGTTTGGTATAAAAGAATCATAAAAGATAAAATCGGTTAATAGCACTTTATATGTAAAAAAAAACTCATTTAAACTTGATATAATCGCAAGTATCATGTGACATTCTAATAATATTAGAAGTGCATGTGCAATGAAAAAAATAGTAATGATATTTTAAAAGCTATTGTTTGTTACTTTAGCAGCAAGTGTAGGCAATGCCAAATCGTGATAATAGTGCTGATAAGCGTCTTAAAGAAAAGGTAACCGGTAAATAAATATTTTGAGTGTCTATTTTTTGTATATCTTTATTTCATGAAATAATTTTTAATATAATGGTTTATTTTATTGTCTAACATAATTTTATTATAATTGCAGCAGAGCAGCCATAAAGTTTCAGTCACTGAAAATGAACTGGAACCAGTGCACAAGCCACTACAACGTTATAAACGGTTTCACAGAACAAGACGTCATTCAAGAGTTAACGGTGATTGTGAAGAAGTAATGGATAAAAGTAGAAATCATGACAGTGTTGCGTTACCCAAGAAAAATGGCAAACATTGTATTAAAAAGAAAATTGATAGATTAGCTGAAGAAAATCGGATATTGACAATGAAACTTGAAAGTTCTGCGATGAATCCTGGCAAGTTTTCTTATTATTTCTTTCACAAGTATATTTATTACAATAAATAATATTTTAATAACTAGGAATAATTGCAAAATTTTATACTATTAATTATGATATAATTTTAGAGACTATTGCAGAATTAAGAGAAAAGGATTCTTTAGTGTCAAAAATCTGCAATAAATATCAGAAATTGTTAAAAAATCATGACAGCCTTCAACAAGAATGTGAGAGATTAAATACTATTTTGGCAGAACGTGAAACAGAATATCATCAGCTGCATGCTTATTGCAAAGAATCTATCGAAGCTTTACAAAAGATAGAGAAAACCAATTCTAATCTTCTAACATTTAATCAAAGATGCAAATCTGAAAATGTTCAACTAAGCGAAGATGTACTGCTTTTAAAAAATGTGATATATTGTTTAAATGCAGAACTAGAAAAATATCAAGATAAAATGAGAGAATTGGGACAAAGTGCATTATCTAAAAATACTAATAACATGTTAGATTCTAAGAGGCCAATAGATGATATGAAGAAAATATTAGAGTCATGGGGTTCTGTAAATACTCATGTATTAGGTCCGCTTTTAGATGCTTATCAGGAAAATCTGTCAGAGAAGCAAGAACTTTTAAATAAATATGAAGAGAATATTGCAAATTTTAGTACTAGATGTAAAGAAGTTGTCGTAGAGAATGAGTGCATGCAAAATGAAATGGAAAAATTAAAATTGAAGGTATTCTAGTTATAAGAATTATTTATTTATTTATTTTATTATACACTTTACAAATTATTGTAGTAAAAGTTTTCTCTAGTGTACCAGGTATGCGGATGAAATCAAAATGATATCTGAGGATGCTGACTTACTCAAGGAATTGAACGAGTGTTATACAAAACAGGCTGCTCATCAGAAGCAAAAGATACATGAGATCCATTCATTGTACGAACAGAAAGTAGAGGCAATGTCATTTGATAATAACAGACTTCATGAGGAATATCTTGCATCAAAGACAGAATTGAGTAATCTTCAAGGAAAATATGACATTCTTTATAAGGAACACGAAAAGTTACAAAATGACAATATGAAAACAATGTCCATCGATGTTCATAATGCTGCCGTTGAAGAATGTAGGCAGCTATTTGAGAAACTAAAACATCAGTATGAAACTGAGAAAGAGAAAGGATCTACTCGCATTAAAGAATTGGAAGAATTGCACTGCCAAAATAAAACGCAATTAGATGTAGTTACAATAGAAAAAAATCAATTGAAAGTGTCGAATAGAAATTTCGAAAAAAGTTTAAAGTAAGCATGTCAATGTATACTTGTTATAGTTATATTTGTTATACTTGTTTCATAAATTTGATTTTTCTAGAAAGAGAAAATATGTGTTTATATAAATTTTGAATGTTTCTCTTTTAGACGAATGCAACGAAAATTGGAGCATTTTCAAAAAATGGCACATTCCATGCAAGTATCTCGAGACTCTTTCAAGAGACAACTGAGAAAGACTACAACATACTGCGAGGAATTGTTCAGTGAATATGAAAGAACAGTCGCCGAACGAGATAAGTTGATTACAATTTTACATGAAACGGAAAATGAAAATGCAAGTATTCATTTTCTCGGTGATACTATTACGCAACGAGTAGGTCATTTAAAAGAACAATTAAAGGTATATGAAATATATTTATTGATATATATATATGTATGTTTATTTCATTATTATCGATTTTATAAATTACCTTATTATCGTTAGATCGTACACGAGGGTGCTAAACAACAATTAGCATTGGCGGAAAAAAATATGAAAGTGCAGCAACTCGGAGTGCATCGGATGAAAGATGAATATCATCAAGAATTGAAACGTCTTAAGTATCTGCTAAGGCAAAAAGAGGAAACAATCGGACAATTACAAAAAGAGATTAGCACCACTCGCGAAAACTTGGAACTCATTTGGAAGACCGCTGCTGTGGACAATAAAAAAGATAAGGAAGCGCTGAAACACGTGAAGATTCAGCACGTTTAGTAAAACTTACAAATATAATCTATCGGCCATGATAAAGGTATTAAATGAATGTTGAATTTCATTCGATATAAAAAAAAATACCGTAGAAATGTCACTGCCAATGTAAATTTTACATGGCCTAATATTGATTATCGTGAAAATCACGTTGCCTGCAAATGAAAACTAGTTATTGTATAATACAATGTAGCATAATTATCATACGCTTTATAATCTTTGTAATATTTATTACGCATGATTATATATACATGATTACATGTATGGCTTACAACATCTATTTATTATTTTACATCATCTTTTTAAATTCATGTACAGTATTAAGATATGTGTATCAGAGCTATCGATAGATTGATTTAACATTACATCACGAAATAAAAACGGCACCGATCATCAAGATAATGTATTCAATACGATAATGACATGCCTCGTGTCAAATATACTCAAACGCGCGTTTGCTCGTTCAATACTTAGAGGAAACAACAGATTTATCGATAGTATCACTGTCTTTATTTAGTGGTGACATCAACCATAGCAAAAGGTTTTGAAGGTTGCCATTTGACGACGGAATTAACGTTGGGAGCGAAAAATCGTCCTCACTTATATAGGAATGATCTCACATCGCATTAATATTAACATGCAAATTGTTCGTAATCGTTCTATTACGTCTTGCATGTAATGAGCAGTTTTTGCTAATTGTCAGATTTTTTCTCGAAGAATGTTTTATGCAAACAATTTATGGACATTGGTTTGATCTTGTGCTCTAATATATTTGCATTCAAAACATGCTGTTCAAAACATTTTATATAATACAACGCATTATTGATTTGTTTAGTAAATCATTTCTGAAATTATTTAGATAATATTTTAATATATAATTTAGAATTTCCATAATTGTCAATATTATAGTATTAAGTGTCTTACTTTCTTTACTTTCTATTAGATAAATGAATTTCTGTCTTTTGCAACAACTGCTTATTACATTATTTAGATATAATTTTTAATATTTATTACAATAATTCGAATCTGACTGAAATGTTAAAATATTTGTTCGTTTTAATTGCGTTTATCTTTATCCTTTTCTTCTTTCTAAAAGAAAAATGAATGTCTCACGTTATGAAATGCAAAATAAAAACGAGCAAATGTGACTGATTATATCTTGCGAAAATCGCAATACCGGATCTCTCTTCGAACATTCTCGCAATTTTTTCTACTTAGAAATGAGTCTCGCGTGCAAAAAATCACCACGAGTGTCTCCGTCAGTTCCGGTCATTCGTTCATCGTAATAAATCGTAATAAGAATCTCTGTTATTTGTCGATATCGCAATTTCCGTCGATCCGCTCTTGCGTTTTAGAGTTTTTTTATTCCAATCCTCGCATATTTCTTATTATTTTCTCGAAAATGCAAGTGCTATCATCAGATATATACACGTCATCAGTCTGTGATCAGCTGTATTAGCTATATACTACTATAATTATAGTTATATAAATATAATTTTTAAATGATGTGATGGATAAATAAAGCTGAGATCTCTCTCTCTCTCACATGATCTTGCAAAAACTTTTAAAACTTCGAAGATTCATTATTAAAAATAATTATAATACGCAGAATTTTCTAATCAAACCGCAATTATTTTTAATTAATTACTAAATTAATATTCTAATTATTAAATATAGGAATAGTATTCATTATGATATCTTGCATTTAAAAAATGGCGCTTTTTATCCTTGAAAATTTGAAGAGAGAGACAGATTATTTCTAACTAAAAATTTCTATTTTAGATTCGCATTAAAATTCTCATCGAAAGAATTAAATCTTGATCACGAAAAGAAATTACAGCATCGAACGTAATAAAGATTGCTAGGTTTTTATTGCACGGCTCGACATTAATGTTCTTTCGGCAGTTAAAACAGGATAGCCAAACTGGTGACGCCACGCGAGCGAGAGAGAGAGGGGGGAGGAGAGGAAGAAAGAAAGAGAGAGAGAGAGAAACGCGAACAAGTGATCGCCCGTGAGCGCCTAGTTAAGGTTAACTGCCGCGCTGGTTACGACGCATGCCGGTTACACGCGACACGCATATTAATTCAAGAAACTAGTTCTTGCACAATGTTATGCGTGACGAAGAAATTTCAAGTGAATTCACAAGGATATCGCGAAGGAAACTGAAATGCCGAAGATTCGTTCCGAAAATCAGAAACGAAATTATCACCTTGCTTGCAAGTAAATAAATAATCATTTCTCTCTTTCTCTCTCCCTCTCTCTCTTATATCTCTTTTATCTATTAGTTTATATCGATAACAAAAAAGAGATACTACTCTGTTTTCTAAAAATTCGTTTCAACAGCCATAATCAACAGTCATTACCGTATTATAAAGAATGGCAAGGGATCGGAATTCGATTAGCAATGATATCGAAATGATTTATATTTCATTATTTTGTCTATATATTATTTTATATATAATGATATCGAAATTCCTCGCGTTTTAATAAGGCACTTTATCATTTCATCTATTATTTCATGCAGAGAAAAAAATGAAAAAGAAATACTACTGTGTTTTCTAAAAATTCGTTTGATCAAATAATTTTTTTATTAGTCTATGTATTTTATATCGAATACATTTATTAGTCTATTTATTATTTTATATCGATAATAAAAATGGGGAAAGAGCTGCTGCTGTTTTCTAAAAATTTGTTTCGTCATAATAATCATGATAAAGTTCAAGTTCTATCGAAATTACTCGCATTTGACGTACTTTAATAAGGTACAGATTACATATATATTTATTATATTAAATGTATTATACACACATTTATTCATTATATACATATTTATTACATCACATATTTATATCGAAATTACTCACATTCGACGTACTTCAATAAGGTACAAATTACATATATATTTCTACATATCATATTAAATTTATTGTATATACATTTATTCATAATGTACGTATTTATTATATCACATATTTATATATGCGACAACGGCACGAAACGCCGGGGCCTCGCACACTTGACCCCGGATTTATCTCGGGCGATCGGGCATAAATTTGAATCGAATATTCGCGGCAGCTGACGGGCGCGCCGCGGCGCGTCGCTGCGATCGGCCGTCTCCGGCGCACTTCGGGCGTGTTCGGCCGCGGGCAAAATGTCGTCTGCTAGACGCGTCGTCCGTGTACAGCCGGGGGTCGGGCATTCGTGACGCGAAAATCGTGGCGCGATAAGGCGATAATGCGCGGCGCGCGCGCTCCGCGCTCACGACTCGGCGGTGACCGATAGTTTATTGTTATTGCTCCGCCACGTTTCCCTCATCGAGACGGCTCGCCGGCCGATCGTCCGAGCCGCGTCCGTCTCTGTCTGTTGTGTACGAGTGTGTGCGTGGGTGCCGGTGGGAAACATCGATTTTCGCTTGTTTTCCGTCCTCGCGAGCGCGACTCCGGACGAGGGAGAGTCTTCGCCTCGCGTCGCCGTGAACGATGCCGTGGTGAAGGCGTGCACCAGGAGGCGAGGACGAGGATTATTTTCAGAGCGTAAGTTTCTTTATCTGTCTATCTCTCTCTCTCTCTCTCTCCTTCTCGCTCGCTCTTCCCTCTTTACGCGTGGCACGCGTGAATTACGTCGTCGCGTGGCTCCACCGCCGTCTGAAGTTAGTAGAGGCTCCAACTGAGCGTCGCGGCGACGACCGACAGCGGGAGGGAGCGATGCATGAGAACGCCGGAAGTGAGAATCCTCGTTACACTTGGCGAGCGGCTACGAGGTTAGCTCAGCCGCGATCGCGAATCGCACGCGCTGCGTTTGACAGTTGAACGACGGTCCCGTCACTCCTGGATTTTTCGATTCCCGTGGGTCTCCTCGCTCGATCGACGCGTCGAAGTCCGAGTCGCGATCACATGTTGCACTCTTGCGCCGGGGATGAGTGAGCGAGTGCGTGGAAAATACTTGATTCAAGTGACGTAAGGTCGGGTATCGCGAATGACGTTTCCTCGACATTTCTCGCTTTCGCTGATTTCTTCATTTCGCGATGTTACGCTACGCATTACGTTCGAGACGGCAACCGAGAGATGTGGAACGCTGATAAATCGATATGACTAATCCTGTTTTATTCGCGCAATTGCGGAAAAGTAGACACCAAGTGTCAGCGAGTCTCCATTATTTTCGTATTTAATTGGTGCAGTGAAAGAGACGCAAGGGTAATCAATTTTACGCAATCAGTTTTACAATCGAGCCTTGATCGAGCGTGAAAGAATCGAGATAGCGACGATAAACGCAACGAAAATAAGGTACGTAGTGTGTTGACGATCAGAGGGGTGACTCCTCGGAAGGTCGTCCTGTCGCGATTTCCGATCGATTATTCCGACGGGGAATTTGCGTGTCTGCCTCCCAAGTATCCCGCGATCTCGAAAGTTTCGATCGATTCCCCGGTTTCGCATTTCCGTCGACCTCGCGGAATTTATCGCCACCGCAACCCTCGACCTACATAAGTGCTGCCCGAAGAGTGGGACTTTCGGAAAAATTCGGAGACGCGTGTTGTGTCCGATCGATAAGCGGTTTAATAATGCGGCTTAACTTTCCCATGTGTATATTTAACCTTCTCGTTTTCGTAGAAAAAAAAAATAATGAGGCCTCTCTGGAAAAGTTCTCTCTGAAAATCCTATACAATTTTTTTTTGACACGTCACGATTTTTATTCTGTGAGGTGATGTCTCATCCGAGTTTATTAAAGAAATATTTCTTTCTTGGAATATCGAGATTATTTAATATTCAAGATAATTTGCGCATTTTATAGAAAAGAAAAAATTAGATAAAAAATAAAAGAAAAAATAATGTAAATAATATAAGGGGTAATATATTAATTTTTATTCCACTCGATTTTTCAATCAATCTTTTAAATTCAAATAAAATTCAGTGACAACTTTTTGTGTATTATACTGGTTTCATTTTTGTAATATATTCATATGAAACGGCAACAGTGCGTTATGAAAATATTGCTGGAAAGTGCGAGTCATAATAATATTCTTATCTAAACTGACTCAACGTGAGCTTATATTTTCGTTCGTTACATTTTCTTGTTCAAAGCAGCACAATTTTTTTTGACACGTCACGATTTTTATTCTGATTGCGAGGTGATGTCTCATCCGAGTTTCTTAAAGAAATATTTCTTTCTTGGAATATCGAGATTATTTAATATTCAAGATAATTTGCGCATTTATAGAAAAGAAAAAATTAAAAAATAAAAT